ACTGGGACAAAATCAAAGTGGTGTCACAGGAAAGATTGAGCCTAGTCCACCTCAATGGAGCCTCTGTTAAGGGGTCTCTGCTACCTAAGTAAATGCTCTGATCATTGAGCTGTTGGGTAATTGGGGACTTTCCTCCAACACAATTTATCCCCTCCTTTGTTTTTTTTTCCAGCCAAAACTATTCAGCAAATAGTTTAGACGTGACTGAAACCACATTTTCCAGGGAATTAACTATTAAAATAAATAAATAAATCACCCAACTCTAAGTATTGCCTCTTTTAAAATCCATGATGCTTCTTTTCCACATAAATTGAAACTTTTTTTTTATATTAGTATATGTAATTAAATGTAACAGTTTGACCCATCTACCCAGCCAGGGTAGTAAATTGGGACTCCTTACTTTTGCTGTTCTGGAGTACACAAGCTGTTTTATAGCACTTACAACTAATGCTTATTTCTTCAGTTTACTCATATTTTCCTTTTTTTGCAGTCCCTTTCATCCTATCCATTCCAACAGTTGATCACTGTAGGAGAGGGAACTCTTCTCTATTACACTTTCATGCTTTTCTAGTCAACTAATTTAAACTAACAGAAAAATAAAACACTTTTTGCAGTGAGCCACATGCTAACTTGTTGATACTTTAAATAGATTATGCCATTCCACTAGATACAAGCTAAACTTATTTGATTGGAAACAAATCAAATAAAAGGATACAACTAGATGTAGTTTTTAATAGTGTTAAAAGTATTCAACCGGATCCAGAGGGGTTGGAATTAGGTTATCATCAAGGTCCTTTGTAACCTAAAGCATTCTGTGAATCCATGACTCTGTGATTTCTGATGTGCTCTCTCGGACCTTGTAGCAGTCCAAGCATGGTATCTCATCATTCCAACTGGCAGTGCCCAAATGCCCTCCCTGGGCCGCGGCGAGCAGCCCGCTGACATCCTTTGCAGCATCTCTAAGGGCTGTTGGTGGCCGTGTGCGATTTGCAGGCGGTGGGGAGTGTGAAGTGGTGGTTTGCTTCAGCGGCCGGGGAAGGATGGTTGTAGACATCCCTCTAGTGGCCCCGCAGCGCCGGGAGCAGCTCCGGCATCCCCGGGCTCAGCAGGGGCAGATGTGCTCCTCTGCGGGGCTGGGGAACTGGCAGATAATGTCTCCCCTTTTCCATTTCACCAAAGTTTCTGTGGAAACTCTGCTCCAGTTCAGGGTGTTTAGAGTGTTTGTTTCACACAAGCCTTGATACTTGAAGGCTGAACCCATTTCACTGGCTGCTGTAAAAATTACATGTACTGGGAGGTGGTATGAGAAAAGGGTAATCCTGTCTCTAAGTTTTTTAAAATGTCAGTTTATTTAACCCAGAGTGAGGAAAAACTGTCATCATTGAAAAAAAAGGCAAGTTGTACTTGAAGATTAATTAAATCTTGTCTCTTTAATACAAGACTGATAGAATACCACAGGGAAAAAAAACCCAACCAAACAAAAAACCCCTGAAGTATATGTAAAATAAACATAAGGAACACTGATTTGTACATCTATGCTCTTCGGCTTCTCAACTGAAATTGTCAATAAGATGCTAATTATGTTTATGTGTTTGGAACATTGAATTCATTTTGCTTTTTAATTTGTTAAAGGATGTGCAGCAGAAATGTGAGCCCTGGGATAGCATCTTTAAAGGTAGTGAAGAGGCCTCCAGTACTGCCTTGGGAAAGGATGCTGTCCCAGGGCACTCACTGTGGTTACTTCATGGAGCACAGCAAGTCTGGGGGTTGCCCTTGCTGGTGCTGGACAAGCATCCTGCGGAGGGTCCCGGGGAAGCTGGCACACTCTGAGGAGTCACTAAAGAGCAGAACTGATCAGAGTTTGTAAAGAGATCAAGACAGTCCCCCCTTTTTGCAAATGGGCACAGAGGAATGATTTGTTCCAGAGGCAGCAAGCTGCCTGACAGCAGCAGGATGTGGTGTTGAAAGGAGATACAGGTTTATACGTATGTAAAACTGTCCTTAAAGGACAGCCCACACTGAGAGTTTCTCTGCATGGAAACAGAAACTACAGATCTCATCCTTCTGATAATGGTAGTTCTGTATCTCAGTAATTCACCTGTGCTACCGTATTACCATTTTGAATCCATTATTTTAAATAAGAATTACCTATACAAAAATATCATAGTGCAACAATTAAGTAAATTATACTTAGAGCTGAACTCAGGCCCATTTCAAAGCCATCATTTGGTGTAAATAAAGCCATGGCTGAATGAGTATTTCTAGTTTAACCTCGATTTTGTTAAACTGATTGGAAGCCAGAGACTGAACACACACCACCATCCTGATCAGGTTTTGATTTCAAAGGTGGTAAAAAACTTTTTAAGTTGCATTAGGGAGATTTTTTTCCCCCTTTAGCTCTGTATAATTTTCCCTCCAAATTATAAACCCTGCTTTGCAGACTTCCCTCCTTATGGCCCAAAAATAGCTCCATGTGTCAATTTAAGAGATGGACAATTGGCATAAAGTCAGCAGAGAGAGCATAAATGCCTGAGAAGTTTTTAGGTGACATCTATGTAAACGATTGCTGTTGTCTTGTTTTCATTTCCAGGCAACTGATCCTCAGAGACACATACATAGAATACAGACAACAATATCTGGACAACCTTCCAATCCCTTCTTTTCAAGCAGTTTACACTTTCTTCGTGTATAAAGGAACAGTATTTTACAGATTGGGAATAAAATATATCTTGATTGGAAGATACTTGTTTTGAAGAGTCTAATCATCACAAATTTAAGCCTTTTTGAAAAAAGCAAGATTCCTGAGCTTCAACCTGCAGTAAATTTTTAATACAGTCTAGAATATTTCAGACCAGGAGAAACACATAATTAATCAATAAATACACATTAATCCTCTTCTGCTGCTCAGTGGCTGAGGGTTGTCAATGTTTTTTGAGTCCAAACTATTAATCTCTGCATGGAGACTGACAGCCAATGTGTCAATTTTGGCAATTTGAAAGACTAGCATTTGTTTCTATCCCTTTATTCAGTTTTTTAAGATAAAACTTCAATTAAGTCTTTTTTATCTCAAAAGAAAGGCAATGCTAATGTTTTCAGAGTATTTTGCTTTTACTTTGCTTTATTTTAACCTCTAATCACAGGAAGAATCAATCTTATACCTCTATATTCCCTCATTAATATTCTCCCAGGATAGGATAATATTGCATAATTTCAAATGTGTTTGTTTTCTCTTCAGCTGAAAAAATACAGAAATCACCTCCAATAGCTTGTCAGCCTGAAGACAACGTCGCACACATTGCTGGGCAGTTAAAGTTGAAGTTGTTTCTAAAACCAGGGAGATTTTTTTCATGAGCAGTTGTTTCTTACATAGTGTTACTGGCATTGATGGTGAGAATGTTGCTTGGTAAAAAGGTTGTTTTACAATCTGTGGGGAGCAGCATTATCAAGTAAATCGCAGTTCTTGCTCTTGACTGAATTCTGTGCAACTGCTTTAGTGTGTAGGATGGAGGCACTGTGTGGATATTGTCCTGTTTCTGTAGGTGTTTTAGGGATTGTGAAAAGATCATAACTAACTTCTGGGAAGCTAGATTTGATCCTTGAATGCCCAGCTATCAGCACAGTGTCTGGTATTGGCCACTGTGGTCCAGGAGAGCTCCAAGGGTCTCATTATGGGCTGGTGTTTATAGGGTCACAAAAGAGATGGCTTTAGTCACAGTAATTTTCCATCCTTACCACAATTCAGGTCAGTAACATTCTTTGAAAATTTGATAACAAAAATTTTATTCCACTTAGGTTGTTGTCCAGGCAACAAAAATAAGTTTCAAAGGCTGTTCATTAAAACAGCAAAATTCGACAGCAAAAGTTCCTGGGAGAAGTGTTTCTGGTATGCTCGAGAGAAGCTCAACCAGCTGCTGTTTGTCAGGGCTGAGGCCTAATAAGCATTTCTGAGATCACACTGTGGCTGAGGTGGGGGGAATGCACCCCCAGTGGCCTAAGAGAAGTCAATAAAAGAGTTGTGATGTGCTGAGCTTGCATCTTTAAATTTGCTGTTACAGCTTGTAGGATTTTTTCTATAACCCCATCCCTTAATCTAGGGTCAATTGGAAACACCACCTCACTCACGGATCACATGGTGAGGAGCTTCCATCAGCCCACGTCCACATGGTGGGTGTCTGGAGAGCGCAGCTCCAGGCCCTCAGATCACCCATGGCCTGCCTGCAGGGGTGGCAGGGAAGGAAGGAACCAGGGGTGCCACACATGGACAGAACCAGGCTGCCCTTTCTCTGCAAACATCATTAAATTTCCTCCGAAACACAGATCGTGCTTTTCGACCAACGAGTATCCAAGTCCTTCAGTAAACATCTACAAACAGTGAGAAGCCTTGTCTAGGTTTATATAACCTACACAACCAAGTGTAGTTTATATTTTAGCCTCAATGCACTTCCCACAAGCTACTCCAGGCAGATCAGAAGTGGAACCAAAAATAGCAGATTCATGTTCCTGATAAACCCTTCAGCAGTTACTGAGGTCCCAGCAGGGTGCCAGGGCCAGGATCATGGAACTCAAGGGTTCAGAGCTTGCAGCCAGCCCCAGCATGCTGGGAGCGGCTCATGGCCTGGCCAGCAGGTGAACCTCACCCCTGACAAGCTGAAGTGACTTTCAACATCAGTGTTTAATTATGCTTATAAATGAGGCTCTTCACACCCACCAAGATTTTTCCAAATGAAGAAAATTACTGACTTTCAAATGCTTTCCAACAGACAATAATTTGAAGAGATCTCTCTTTAAAAATACCATTGTTTAAAACTGTAGTTCACATCAGAAAACTCTGACAAGTGACTTCCCACACCAAGTAAGGGCTGAACTGGCAACCTGCAGTGCTTTTTCCAGTAAGAATCAGCAAAACCAGGAATTTAGTAATTATGGGTCCTGGCTGTCACTATTGCTGACTGATGCATTTAGATGTGTAGCCATTCTTATTAAAGGGAAGGCAGAAAGAGTACTTGAAACTTTTAATTTATTAGTCCTCAAATAGCCAATACACATAAAAATGTACTGAAAATGGACAGATATAGACTCAGCAAAAATAATAATCTCTCAGAAAAAAACAGGCATTACTATACAAAGTCAGAGTAAAGTCCTGTCACATTTACAAGTGAGCTTGTAATTTGTGTGTAAGTTCAGCATCACTTGGAAATTTTTCAAGTCCAAGTTGAATCTTTTCAGCTAGTTAGTGCACTGAGCTTATACAGTACATTGTTTTCCAGCATCACCAACGGGTAATACTGTACATAAGCAAGTAGCACAAGCAGTGGTTTAACCTTTAAAAGCTCATTCATTCCACTTAAGGTGCACTATTAAAACAACAGACGTATTTAATAAAATAGTAACAGTATAATTGTCATATTACAGCTCCTTCCATTTCACTGTGACAATTGTGTGGCTAAAACCATTAATTATACTGCTAGAAAACCTGTACAAATGACTGAGGAAAAACAATCACTAGAGATTTGTTCAAAAGGAAAAAGCCTAATGTTTCATGTAAATGGATTGTTCCACTGTTTAAGACAGACTTCCTTAACATTTTTAAGATGGTTACTCTGTAAAAATGTACTTCCTTACCCTATAGATAAGGTAGGTAATGGCTAAGAGTTAGAGGGTCAGTTTAGATAAATATTAGGAAGAAATTCTTTATTATGCAGGTGGAGAGGCATTGAAACAGGTTGTCAAGAGAAGCTGTGGATGCCTTATCATCTCTGGAAGTGTTCAAGGCCAGGTTGGATGGGGCTTTGAGCAACCAGGATGAGAAGAAATGGCCTCAAGCTACATCAGGGAGATTCAGGTTGGATGTCAGGAAGAATTTCTTCACTGAAAGAGCTGTGAAGCAGTGGAACAGCCTGACCAGGGAGGTGGTGGAGTCACAATCCCTGGCAGAGTTCAAGGAACGACAGGATCTGACACTCGGTGCTATGGACTACTTGACATTGTGGTGTTTGGTCAAAGGTTGGAGTTGGTCTTGGAGGTCTTTCCAACTTAAAGAATTCTGTGATGTAGGAGCTGTCCCAGACCAAAGCAGGGGTGCTGGAATTATGTGACCTTCAAGGTCCCTTCCAACCCTAACCATTCTAGGATTCTGTGATCACGTAACAAAAATCCACCCCAACATACAGCACTCAAAATTAGTTGTTAGTGTTGAAATTGTTTACACATTTTATGGCACACATTATCCTGAGTTGTTGACCTAGTGTAAGGGGAATCAATGCTTCTTCTCAGCACAGACCTCCCCACCCACCAAAACAGAACAATGCTGTAAAACATCAAATAGAGTTTGCCATCTGAACAGAAACCAGTTACTGAAGGAAAAGGACAATTTTCCTGTGCAAAAAAAAAGCTTTCTTAGCTTTAACCCTCACTCCCACCTTCAGTGGAGGAGCACCTTCCTCATTTTTTCCATGTTCTGTGTATTAACTGTGCTGTCACTTTGCTTTTATTTATTGTTATTACAGCTCAGCCTATAGTTTGAAATTCAAAGACAGAAAAACAGTATCGTGTACTGAAGTCCTGTATTCTGGAGCCAGAAGTTGATAGGACATACATAAAAATTCAAGATTACTTTCTGACACAGGCTTGCACTTGGTGTTTTTTCCCTAATTTGCATAGTATCCTCCTATGCATTTTGCAGAATTAGGGAACCTTGTGGAAAACTGAATTAACTCTCAATCTGTATTTAGGTATATTTATGCTGTGCCACCTTATTTGTATTGTAGAACATAGGGTATTTAATTTCACCACACCTGTCTGAAATAGCTGTAGAGTTGCTGGCTAGGTCATGCAGGGGTTAATAAGCTTTGGTGTGCTCACTTGTGAAGCAGATGTGTAATTGTCAATACTGCCTGATCCAAGGATTTGGACTTCCTATTTAAAACCAAACTGGCCAACCCACCTCACCCCTACAGAAACCATACTGGGATGAAGTGAGCCCATGCACAGCATTTGCACAGTGACAGTTCACGCCCTCAGAAAATCCAGTAAACAAATTCAACAGCTTTGTTTTATGGATACGAAAGATGGATAATACAGACACAGTCCTAAAGTATTTTTTAATTTTAATTTTAAATGTTCACATAATTTAAAATGTTTGTAGTTACTCGGTGAACTGCAGCAAAGGCAACCCAACACGTTTCATTAGACTATTTCATATTTTTCTAAGCTTATTTTATTTCTTTGCTGTACAGAGGCAGAAATGCAAACCATCTCAATAAATGTACATCAGTAACTACCTAGAAATGATACAAGTATTTACACAAAGACCAATTATTTCACTTCAGTGTTGATACCATAGTTCATGTAGAGCTGGATGCAAAGAGTGTCTACACAGTGTGAGGCATAACTCTCAAGATATTTACATCTTGTTCTTTATAGCAAAGGCTTCCAATACACCAGGAATTCCTTGTTACATTTGTATTTGACAATCCTGCTTAGTAGTGCTGCCTCAGAACTGAAAAGTGCATTTCTTCATTTTATACATTCTCACGCAGATTGTGGACCGTTCCAGAAACTGTTCTCCAACCTTAATTTTTGGAAGTAATTGATGATCTACGTTTTTTGTTAATTAAAGTTGTAAGGTAAAAAATTGTTTTTCCCAAAGCTCTGTAGGTCATATGCAATTAAGAAAACAAAGCTCCTAAACGCAACTCAAGAAACTGTTGTCTTTTGACTTGGGAAGATGAGCAATCCTGTGAAAGCACTCAACCAATCCACTGCTGGTTATTTAAAACACTTTGGAACATTTCAGGTTATGAAGTCTGCAGATCCAAGCACTTTGGAAAAGCCCTATAACACAGATAAATACATTCTATATTAGATTTTTGTGTTGTAATTAATCTGGCATCTCAAATGGTTTTTTCTCTTCCATCGGAGATCTCACTTTAAAAAGAAAGTAAAAAAGGAATATGATTACTCTCATTGTAGAAAATACAATTTTGAGTTATTCCACAAGCGAAATGAATTCAAAAAATGCCTGGGATGAAAAAGCCAACTCCTCCCTTCACCTATAAAGACTTCTAAAGATAATTTCTTTCTTTCTTTGTGTTCTGAGCTACTGCAACTCCTGCCACATTTCTTTTTAAGCCACAACATCCTCCAGCACTAGGGTTCTTCAGAATCTCTACTCCATCCAATCTTGTTTTAGAAGATTAATACTACGTCCCCTCTTCTGTCTGCCCTCCCTTAGGGCAGGAATGAGCAGTAGCACAGTCGTGTTTAAAACAGCATCATAACTCTCATGGCAACAATCTGAGCTGAGCAGGAGTCTGTAGTGCAGCAGCTGAGAGCTGACACACGGAGCTGAGAGCTCCATCCACAGAGTGCAGCTCCCACAGGAAAGCAGCAAAGAGCAAAGGAAGGAAAAGGCCAGGGAACAAGAGTGCCTTGCTCTGTGTGCACGTGCCTGACTCTCTGACCTCCTGTTGCTGTGAGGTAACACAACAGCACAGACTTCTTTCCAGGCATTTCCTATACTCCCACACATCTTGGCCCACAATCTATGCTGCAAAAATTAAACTTGTTCAACAGTACAGCTTATAACTTTATCAGAATATGTTAATCTTAAAAAAGAAAAAAAAATACACGTGGATAAAAATGTAAAAGGAGGATGTTACCTTCATCAGGATAAAATGATGTCTCAGTTTCCCTAGATATGGACAGTATCCATATCTTCACAGGTTTTGGCACCCGGATTCTCTTTTTCCACCTCACACAGATAGACATCAATAGGTCCTTTTGTGCTCTTCACATGTACTTCTATGTGATCCTATAAAAGAGCAACTTGTATATAATTCAAAGAATAAATCTTATACATTCTTTATCTATTTTTGCACGTATTTTAAAAACAAAGAACAAATACAGAAATGATGTAACTATTTAAAATTGTGTTGCTGCTTCCACGTAAATTATGACTATTACATACGTTTGTAGGAAACTATTATGCACAATTAAGCTAACAAGCTTTCATTTTTGATGAACGTGCATTTAAGTATTTGTTTAGTCTTTCTACTGACCTTCTGATATACCACCAAGACTTACTTATATGTTTAGGAAGAGTAACAAAAGTTAAAAAGCTTGACAAAACAGTGCCATGAAGCAGACAACAAACTGGACACACAGCTTTAACAAAATAGTAAAGCAACTAATCCTTATCACTTCTCCTGCCTTCCTTCCACAGACATCATGTTGCATGACACAGAGCAAATTAATCAATGCAGAATGGAGAAAATACTCGGTTCTAATGTACAGCTTTTAAAATTCTGCCTTTTTATTGCTTCAGGAGGCGTCTGGAGTTGTATCTTTTTCATCTCCACGGGGTAAGAGACAGCTCCTTTGACCAGGGAAACCACTGGAGATCTATGTAGTGGATCTCTTTTGGTTCTACTGATTCATTTCCTTTTCCTAAGATATCCCCACCTTTCTGTCCATACAACAAGGCAACTTCAATGACTATGCACCTGGGAAGATTATCAAAAATGCTCATGCAAAAAAGAAAATGGAATTAAACTTCTGTTTGTTATCTTAGGCTGTCTTCCAGGATTTGCCCTCTCAGAGCACTGCCAACAGTTCCCAGTACACAGGCCCCACTATGCACTTGCAGCACTGCTGGGTGCAGGGGGCTCCTCTGTGAGACAAGAATGGAGCCTGTGTGTTGCACCGTGGGGTGAGGACAGGGCACACTCCATGAAAAACCCTTCTAGATATATCTACCAGAGGGACAAAAGGTTTTCTTTTTCCAACCATACTGTACATTGCATACTTTATTACAGCTTCTCCATTCTCTCTAACAAAACCAGGTAACTAAAGCTCAGATATATTTATGGCTTAGTAATTTAGGCAAAAAAAAAAATACAGCAAGTAAGCTTCTAAGACTATTATCCCTGCAGCACTGCTGAGTGGAACACAAGAACATTTAACTACCACTATCTGCATGACAGAGAAACTGAAAGTCAATTACTGACTGCTGCTGCAAAAAAATCAAATTTAAAAACTTTTGTTCTTTTCGGAGAAATGTATAAAACTTACGTCTTTAGGAACTGGTATCTCCAATTTGGTTTCCTCTGGAGCTTTGATTGCAATCACAGTCTGTTCCTGAAATGCCTGAATGCTTCGGATATCTTGGTATGTCACATAAGCTAGTGTACACATTGGTCAAGGATTATGTAAAGTAATTTGCTAATGGGCAGAAGCAAGAGTGTGATGCCAAGATATGTTGAGGCAGAATACCAACTTCAGAAAATTGATCAACAATTCAGCAGAGGTTAATATTAGCTTTGTAAAATGAAGTATCAGCTAATGGTAGAAAAATACTTTTCTGTATTTCCAGGAAGGAAAAAAGCTTTTAAAAATATATTCAATGTTATAAAATAAACCCAAACAGTTTTCACAGATGTTGTCATAAGTCTACAAAGCAGAAGAAATACTGTTTTTCAGGAATTACACTCTTATCTTCTAAAAGCATGAAAATAATCTCCTGAGACATTGTAAAACTATTTTCTTAACCAGTAAGGTGTAAAGAATGTAAGCACATTTCATTTGTGCACACACCTTAACACCTTGCCAAACAAGGGAGCTAAATAATATTTTATTGTAACCCAAAGCCAAAATTCAATCTTTATGCCATATATTAAAACGAATGTCTTTTCTATTGTCAAAACCCATCTGAAAGTCAGAACTGCAATGGGATCTCTTTCAAGAGAGAAGAGTATTAGGACATAACCAACATACCATTACATCTCCTTGGCGACAGGCCACTGGAACTCCATTCTGAGTCCTCTCTGCCATCTCCCTAAGCATCTTGAGCTCACTGGTAGGTCAAAACCTGCCCTTGAGACAACTCAAATGGAGAAAACAGGGTGATGGTCAGGGTACTGAGACTACTGCCCCACTTAATTCTTCTGCAGTGGAAAGGCCATACAAGCAGCACTCCTCTGAGGACAGGCTAGACTGTCCATGATACTGCAAAGCAAGGCACATGACTGGCATTCTCAAATACAAAATAATCAAAAAGTCTGCTATTATAAAACTGATTATCAAGCAGTACTGTATACCTGTGGTATCAGCCTACACTTCTTACTAGATATGTGAGTATGTGCAACCAAAACCATAATAAATAAATAATAATGTAAGAGTTGAAAGGATATTTTGCATTTTCTTTGTCATCTGTTAGTTCAAATATCTGATGAGCACAATTCTTGATTAATTCATCCAGAGCTTCTTCCATGGCTGTTAAGTCAGAAAGTTCATCTTTAAGGTTCTGCTGCTGCGGTGCTTTTCCAAGAAGTTGGTCAAGACTGTTACCTCTAGAAGAATATGAACATTGTCTAGCATGTTTGTATAAATAAAAGCCTGTTTATTAAACATCAAGTATACTAACAGCAAATAGTAAGAAAGTCTGGCATCCTTTATTCTGCTGAAATATGCTTCCATGTACTTCTGCACTTGATACTTGTTAACGTATTAGGTAATTCACATAGCATAAGGAAGGATATAGAACTTAAAATATTATCTATGAGAAGTAACTTAATATGCTTAAAGACACTCTCAAAGTTATAAACATTACTCAACACTGTTGGGATTTACTGTTTCAGAAACTAGAAGCTTCAAAGCCAACTCACATCCACTGGATATGATTCTTAGATCTTTTCTGAATCAAGTCGATGCCATCCAACACATTGGTGATGTCATACACTCTTCGTTTTCGTACTCCAAGTGTTGTTGCCACTTCATTTAAATCAAGGACACCGTCTGGAGCTTTTCTGAGCAGAGCCATAAATTTTCGTGTCAAAAGCACCAAGGATGCATCAAATCGAGGCCTTTTCATGTCCACAGTTTCTGTAAAGTTTTGGTAGAATATTTAGGGTCAGCTACTACATAAGCATGAAGTAAAAAAAGTGATAGTGATGAAGTAACAATGAAGGTAAAAGTCTGGAAGCACTGCAGTTTTTTTTGCAATGTCATCATAAAAAGCCTTTTAACTACACATACCTTTATTTGTTTGCAATGATTTTATCTAAATAGCAAGCATACATTTTTGTGCTTTCAACATTAATGACTCCACACTGCTAGTATGCATATTAACAACTGAGTAACCGTATACTCTACAGGACATGGGATCAGATCACTGACCAAATACCAGTGAAACCTTTGGTTAACTATAGACTGTGCTGAGATGCTGCCAGAGGAACACAGCTCTATCTCTGCTGCGTGACACTATTAGAGTATTTTTTCCCATCTTTTTGGTCCAGTTTAACCAGCAGACCTCACACATAAGCATTAGGCATGGTTCACAAGCCAGCTTGAGCTTCAGGACTGTTTCAGCCTGGACAGGACCAATCTGCTCTGGAACTGAAGAATTTAGCATGTAGACAAACTGTTTGCACTATCTGGTCTCAGGGCAAAAGAACTAGTCATTCCATTGTTTGATTTACTAATACACAAAGATCTACAGCTACCCTCACACTCTGGTTAAAGAGATCCCTGTGTTATGTGTATTCATTACCATCATATTTGCAGAAACAGCAGAAATCCCTGATTAATAACTTGAGATTGTTATTTTTGTAAGCAAAAAGCACAAAAAGCACCTACTTCTGAGTCAGAAAGTCACACAGTCAGTATGCACACACTCATTTGATGGCAGCCAATAAAAGATTCTCAAATTCATATGTTACTTTGCTTTACAGGAGAAAAGACAACCAGGTATTTCACCTGATCAACCTGTGTCCCTGAACAATATTCCAGTCTAATGCTTCAAGAAAAGGTGAGTGTGTAAAAAAAGTACCCTAGACAACACTTCTGCTTCAACCATCAGTATTTTTTCCAAGATGAATAAGATACCACCTTTACTCATAATGTATCACACCCATTCCATGGCTGCAAGTTTGTGCACTCCTGAACATGAAGTAACAGGTTTGACAACTCAGTTTTGGACTGTTACTGTGAAAGGTGTGAAACAATTCAGCTGGTGAGAAAAAAAAAAAGAAAAACAAAACCCCAACACCCAGAAATTCACTCAAGTTTATTTCCACATTTATCAGCACCAGTTGAAACACAACATTTGCCAGTATGTTGCTGCAGTTTACTCTAACTCACTTTTCCTGTGCACTCTTACCTATATAGCAATGGGAAGGTATACGTGCAATAGATCTGAGGAGAAAAAACGATAAAGAATGTATTGCTTCACATCTGTTATTTCAGTCAGTGTTCAGCATTTTTCCTGCTCTGCTGATATTAAATACCATTTTTCATTTGTCTACAGCACTGTACTCACATTATAAAAATGCATGACATACTGCAAGATTTTCACACATGACACATAGCAACTTACTTTTCACAAGCTGTGTGTCCTTGGGCACATTCAGGTCGACCACTGGTGCCTGAGGAAATAAAAAGGGAATAAAACAACTGTCATAAAATGCCATCTACAGGGGGAGCTTCTTCAGAAGAAATCCTCAAATCTTCTTTAGATGTTACAGCTATCACAGCTCTGACAATTCAACAGCTATTACTATGAAGTGTCACTAGATAAAAGGAATATATGCTCTTTAATTCCTGCCAGGACTTTGAGCCCTTAATCTCAGTACAACTCGCTCTGTTTTAAAAAACAATAAACACCATTGAATTTGCTGTTGCTCAGGCAAGCTAAAACCTCTCTTGCTTCTTCTCTTTCAATTCATGGCCATTTCCTTTCAGTTGCCCATCAAGTACAACTGTGAAATACCTGGTAACCTTTTAAAGTTCTTAACTTGCTTGCAAGTATGGAATGAAAACTCATCAGGGGAAGTTTGGGTTAGATATTAGGAAAATGATTCTTCACCCAGAGGGTGCCTGGGCACTGGAACAGGCTCCCCAAGGAAGCAGTCACAGCACCAATCCTGCCAGAGTTCAAGAAGCTCTTGGACAATGCTCTCAGAAACATGGTGTGACTCTTGGGATTGTCCTGTGCTGGGACAGGAGTTGGACCTGATGATCCTTATGGGTCCTTTCCAACTCAGCATATGCTATGATTTTACTGAAGAGCTGCTGTCGCATAACAAATTCTCTCAGGAGTTTATGAACAGCCTTCCTGTACTAGTGGGCCTAAAACAGGAACAGTATTCCAAGGGCAATCTAACATATGTCAAATAAAGAAAAATAATAATTTCCCTCAATTTACTGTTCTCCTGCTAAGACAGCCTCATACGCCTCAATGTCAGGACACAATGCAGGTGCACATTTAGCCCAATCCATGAGGGCCCCCAGGTCCTTTCAACAGGGTGGTCCCCAGCCTTACCACTGCTGGGTAAAGGCAAGGCTTTAACGCTTCATTTCAACTTCCCAAGTTTATGAGGTGTTAGATGACCCCTTCCTCCAGCCCATAAACCTCACATCCTCCACTGAACAACAGGACAGACCTGCCAGGCACCCACCAAAGCTGCTCCATCACTCCTCTCCACAAGTGGTCAGGGGAGAGATGTAACAAGAAGTTCATGAGTTGAGCTAAGGACCAGAAGAGATCACTTCCCAAATACCATCATGGGCAAAACAGACTCAACTTGGGAATATTAATTAAATTTATTACCAACAAAACCAGAGCAGAATAATGAGAAATAAAACGCATCTTAAGAAAACACCTTCCCTCCACCCCTCCCCAAGCTCCACCTCCTCCACACCAGCAGTGCAGGGAGACAGGAATGGGAGTTATGTCAGTTCATCAAATGTTGTTCCTGCTGCTGCTCAGGGCAGAGAGTCCTTCCTCTACTTCAGTGTGGAGTTCCTGCCCACGGAAGAAAGCCCCCCATTAACTTCTCCAGTATGAGTCCATCCCACAGCAACAGTTCACCAACTGCTTCAACATCCATCACTGTTCCTCAGGGTGCAGTCCTTCAGGCACAGCCTGCTCCAGCAGGGGTCAAGGGTCACAAGTTCCACACAAAAGCCTGCTCCAGCATGGGCTCCACTCTCCATGGATCCACAGTCCCTGCTAGGAACCTGCTCCAGCATGGGCTTCCCACAAGTTCACAGCCTCCTTTCAGGCATCCACCTGCTCCAGCCTGGCTCTCCTCCATGGGCTGCAGGTGCATCTCTGCATCCTCATGGTCCTCCATGGGCTGCAGCTGCTTCACCATGGGCTGCCCCACAGGCTGCAGGCAGTCTCTGCTTTGGCACCCAGAGCATCTCCTCCTCCTCCACTCACCTTGGTGTCTGCAGAGTTGTTCCTCTCACATATTCTTACTTCACTCTTGTCTGGCTGTAATTACAACTGTATAATAACTTTTTTCCCCCCTTCTTAAATATGTTATCACAGAGGCACTACTACTATCTCTGATGAACTCTGCCTTGGCCAGTGACAGATCCATCCTGGAGCTGCCTGGCATTAGCCCTGCAGGACTTGGGGGAAACTTCTGGCAGCTTCTCACAGAAGCCACCCTGCAGCCCCCAGCTGCTATCAAAACCTGACCACAAAAACCCAATACAGGGTACACAAGCCCAAGGTTTCCTTTGTTTGGGGTCCCTGTTCCAGCTGTTGTACCAAGATTAAGTTATTTTAAGGATCCAAATGTCTGAGACTCTGCTATGGGAAACCTAGGGTCAATCAGTGAGGGGACCTTGTCTGTGTGAGTGTGGGGGTGCAGCTGCAAAGGGGCCTCGGTCCCAGCTCAGGTGGTGTGAGAGTGACTGACAGGAGTGGCTCTTCAATGGTCAGACAGGGAAATCTCTTCAATATTGTCACCTTTAACATTCCTTGCTTGTTTCAACACTACAACTTTGCCTTTCCAATCACCATATCTGCATGTCCAGGTACCTTTTATCCTTACTCTTACAGAAGTCTGTCCTGTTCTTTTTGCCATGAATGTCACAGTGAAATGTGTTTCTCCTTATTGATCTCAATCTCTTCAGCTCCTCCAGCTTCCAAAGCTGCCTTCCCAAAAGTCTCAACCTACCCCATGGCAGAATAAGCTGGAGTCTTCAAGACTGAGTAAGCTGGAATCCAGGTTCTGCACTTTACTACTAACCTTCCTTACTAGTAGGTTCAGGGTCTTGAATATCCCACTGTTAAGAAAACTTCCCAGTCTGACCATTCATGAGAATCCACCTAAGTCTCATGCTGTCACTGCTGGGACTGAAGCCCCTTCATGGTGGACTGCCTCAGTGAGCTACTGGGAGGCCCACTGGACTCCCTACACACCACACTCATGCAGTCAGGCCATGTTTCCTCACTGGTTCAACCCCAGATTTGAGTTTGACTCTCCCACTGCAGGGTCTCAGACATCTCTCAATAAAGCCATTTATTCACGGCGCAGCAAGACAGAAACAGCCCAAGCTGGTACCTCCAAAGAGGGATGCACAATGAAGGAACCTCTAAGTTTTTATACCCTCATAGTCTACTCGGGTAAATCTTGATCTTCACCCCGAGTCCTCTGCTCCTGCTGTGTCTCCCCATGTGTCTCTCTCCGTCCACCTTGGCAGTGCCATCATCTCTGTGCCGTTTTGTTGCCCAAAGCGTTGGCAGTTCATGGCTTCTGCTGCTCCCTCATTTTCCACTCACCTGGTCAGTGCCACCTTCTTCCTGCCCTTTGTTATCCCAAGGATTGGGCAGTTCATAGCCTCTTGTCTAGGGATCCCACCCATGTGCAGCCTGCAAACCGAGCTACACAAGGCGCAACTCACACCTTGCATTCCACGGCCATGGCAGGCAGGGCTGTTAATGATTACCACACCTTTGACCTCGTGTTTATAAGAAGCTGATTCAGGAAAGTATCACCCTTTGTAAAATCATCTAAGTATATACATAAAGAAGCTGTGCCAAACACCATTTGCATCTCACAATCATCACTTCAATTACCCACCGAAAAACTTACATGAACTCTTTCACGGCTTTAAGAAAATACTACCAAGTAACCTTTAGCCCAACGGACAAGATTAATTTAAGAAAAAAAAGTAATATATTTAAGCATTAAATATTTTACTTAATATTAAAATTATTTTAGTATTAAAATTAAAAACACGCACCATCAGGATTAGCTAAAAACATGTCAATTTTTAAAAAAGTTTTACAAAATAGACTTTTTTGCCAACTACTTCATAGCATTGCTAAAGGTAATGGTGACAGCTGCAGGTAAGATAATCACAGAAGTTAAGAGGAGAAAACACATTGTAGTCCCCTTTTCTCATCCTTAGCTACACCATATTTAGCTCGATTAAGAGGCTATAAGTAACACAGGCAAGAAAAACCATCCTTCTGCATCCCAGCACCTTTCCCGGGAAGGCCGCCACGAGGGAGGGAGGCACCCCAAGGCTCCCTTCGGGCACCACGCTGCCTGGCCCGCCGCATCTTTCCCGCCCAGAGACGTAGGACGGGCTTTCGGCCGCCTCCTCACGAGCTCCCGCGGCAGCCGCAGCGCCGTCCCGCCCTCTCCCATCCACGGGCAGCGCCTCCCGCCATGTACCTCACTCACACGCAGCGTGTCCGGCTCCAGCGGCTTCAGGCGCTCCCACTTGTCGGGGCTGGCCATGTCCGCCCGGCCCCGCGGCGAGGCGCCGGAGGAGGCAGCGCGCACGGAGGCGCTCAGGCCGAGGCTGCGAGGCGCGGCCGGGCGCGGGGGCTCCCGCGCGCGCCCGGGGCGGCCGCTGGGGCGGGAACGGGCGGCAGCCGCGCACGCGCCCTGCCCGGCGCCACCGCCTTCTCCCTCCGCTACCCATCGGCCCCCGCGGCGCCTTCCCGCCCTGCCCGGCTCCTCCCGGCTTCTCCCGCCCCCCGGGGCAGCCCCCGCCTCTCCCAGCGCCCGCGGGAATGCGCGGGATCGGGTCCTTCCCACCCCTCCCGTCAGCCGGTCCCATCGCCCCCGTCCTCGCCTTTGCGACAGCGGGAGCTCGCTGAGCACTGCAGCGGCCAGCGTGGGTTAAGGGAGGAGTCGCAGAATACGCTGAGTTCGAAGGGAGCCGCATGGATCGTCGAGTCCAGCTCCTGGCTCTGCACAGGAACACCTCAAGAGTCACACCATGTGCCTCAGAATGTTGTCCAAGTGTTTTTGGGCTCGGGCAGGCTGGTGCTGTGACCGCTTCCCTGAGGAGCCTGTTCCAGTGCCCAAGCACTGCTTCTGGGTGAAGAACCACGTTCTAACATCCAACCTAAACCTCCCCTGGCACAACTTCAGGCCATTCCCTCAGCTCCTGTCCCTGGTCACCGAAGAGAAGTGTCGGCCCCTCCTGTCCCCCTCACAAGGAGGTGTAACTGCAGTGAGGGCTCCCCTCGGTCCCTCCAGGCTGAACCAGCCCCGTGACCTCAGGCGCTCCTCACAGGGCTTCCCCTCAAGGACAGGGTTACTGCCAGCAGGGAGATTTCTCTTTCCTCCAGGTAACACCATGAGCTAGGAGAGAGCCTTCTGGCTGAGCATTGCCATGCAAGTATGTGTGAGAGTGGTTAGTATTGACTGCCTGCCAAATGACCTGTTTTTGTCAATACTTGCTAGTACGAGGCAGCCAAAGCTACGTGTGTCGCTCACAGGGGAGGCACGGATAGAGTGCCCGTGTCAGGTATAAGTTAATTACAAGAGATTTGTGAGTGAAGGGCCAGGTATATTCCTCTAGGACCCGACAGGAGCCATCAAATGTGGCATGTCCAAACTAATCCTGTACATTTACCTTGCAGCAACATCCTTTCCCAAGTGCCAGTTCCATTGCTCCTGCCCTTTCCTCCATACTTCTGATGATGTTTTACAAGCACTGACGCCTTGTCATGTGCCAACCTCAGCAGTAGTCTCAGAATTTCCAATTGCTGACATAACTTATTTTTGTCAGACAAAAACATTTCTTTAAAACATAGCTCCTTGTTAGGTAGCATTTGTTGCTTGATTGCTGTTTGTGGCAATTAACTCTCTTGTATAGCTGGTAAGTCTTTCATGGAGTTCTTTTGCTTTAAGAATTATGAACTATTTTTCTTCTCCCACCCACACTTCAGGTGAAATTTCTAGTCTTGATTTCATCAGATGTGTAAAATGCTAGTCTGGTATGAGGAATTCAAAGCCATGAAGAACTTAGTTCATATTCTAATATGTCAGACCAAACAAGTCAACTAACACGCTATTATCTTGAATAAATACTGTATTAATTTTCATTTACTATGTGTTTCATAGCCCTTCCAGTCAGACATTTCTTTAGAGTAGCTGATGGTATCACCAATGATGGATCAGATGCCTTGATAGAGGATGGAATTTTCTTCATAGCAACCAATTTTCAGTCAAGTACTTGCAAGGTAATAATTTGCCTTGTAGAAAAGTGTAGAACTAAGGTGGTTTGTTCTTGTGCTCTAATGAATCAACCAGAATAAAAGAGGGGAAAATATATTACAGCTCCTCAAAGGCAAAATGTCTGTGTTTCAGGAGATTTGGAGTTGTATATTTAATGACATCATGCAAATGCTGGTTGTCAGTATTGTAAGGCAAGGTTAGACTGCTGCAAGTGCAGGTTTTCCTATCATGGAAGGGACACATGATTACATCAAAATGTAAAAATGCTGATTTTTGTGTGTGCAACATAACCTCATTGCTAACTTCTCTGTGGTGATGTGCGTAGTTCCATGAGGAATGAATATTCTCACTTCTTTTTGTATTCTGAAAGATGTATTTTAGCATTGCAATTACAGATTGTATAAAGCCACTGTGATAAAGCAGGTTTTTTCCACCTGGAACAGCAGAACAGTTTGGAGTAGATGCTTAGGGCCACGTTAGTTTGAGGTGATGTGAGGAATGTGCCAAGCAGTATTGAAGTCATTGAATAGGAATTGGTGGCTGTTGGCTGGTCAGATATTAGGAGGATGTTAACTCATAATTTGAGGATTAGGATACATGAATTGCTGTATTAACCCATGTGGAAAACATTGCATCAACGTTTAACTATGCTGTTGTTCTAGCCAGTCATAAGATCAAATCCTGTTGTTCCCGTGCTTGTCTGTCCTTGCCTGCTGACATTATCTCATGGACCAAAGAAGGGCCCCAGAGGGATTCAGATTCAGGAAGTGTTTTCTATATTTATATGAAAATTAAAAAGGCTTATTATTCTTTTAACTGAAAATTAGATGTTGAAGTGACTCGCTTGATTATCAGGAGTTTTTGCTGTGGTATTCTGCTGATAAAGAGTTTATCCTAGTATGTTATTATTTACATTTTACAAAGCTGATAATTAATCACACATTCTTAATTAGAATCATCTTGTAGATAAAAATGTAAATTATAACCCATTTACTGTTACCTTAATGCATATTAAAATGACTGTGTATTCATTTAACACCCCCAGACGTTAATTGTACAGAACATGATTCTTAAAATAAAAGATTTGATTATTCATCTGTAATAGGTTTCTTTTTCATTACATTGATTCTTAATGTGCCACCAGGGGGCAATAATTCCTTTCCTAAATCTGATCATTTCCCATCAGAACCTGCCAGAATAGTGGATTCACTAATATTTTTAAATGACTGTATGTGAAAGGCAAAACATAAGTTTCTTAAGAATGCTTCTTTAATTTCTTGTGTAATGTAGTATTTTACCATGCACTACTTAGCCATGTAGGTTTTTTTTTTCAGCAGCTGAAATTTTACTGTTTTGTAAAAGTTTTTGCTTTTCATGCAGCACTAAAATAATGGATGGTTTCCATTTCATGCAGTATGGGATTTTTTTGGTGGTTTTTATATTGTCATTGTAATATTCAAAATTTGTTTTAATCATATTATTTTCCCATTCTTTTACTTTTTGCTGCACTAATATACTATTAATATTTATTAGCCTATATATGTGATCCTGAAGTTGGAAATATATCCAATAAAAAGTACCTTATATCCTTATATGATTTTTTTTCTTTTTTTCTTTATGTACATAGTGGTTACAGCATTCTGCAGGTAAAGCCAAGGCTGCCTTCTGTAAAACTCTACAGCTCTGTATCAAATGCAATCTTTCCTTTCAAGACAATAATCTTGTAAGTGGATCTTACATTAGGTGCACATTGCTGAAAAGATGAGCCAGAGGAAATATATTCCTGCAAAAGTGCAAAAGTAAAAAATCATGAAAAACAGCAATTCCTGTAAATATCTGTTTGAACTACGTGTGGCTATAGAGTTATCAATTTTTTTTTAATATTAGTATGTCAGTCTGTAGAAGCTTCCAGGCCTCCCTAGGGTCCTCACCACTGCATAACCATTAGGCATAAAGGTATACATCTTTGTGCTGTAAATGTAATGACTTAAATCTGTTTCTGGCAATAGTAGAATTTTTCTTCATGTGCTCAGCTTAATCTGCCTGAAAAAAATTCTTCCTGTACACGTGGCAAATAGGCATCCTTTAGTCTAAGAAGGCAGATCTCCTATTTCTTCACTTGAGGATGAGGAAGTTTGAGTCAGTTAATCAGATCAGGGCAGCACAGAGCTAAAGTGCATTCATTTTTGTTATGTCCTGAATGACACTTAAAAGTCATGGATGTGGTATCACATTGCAGGCATAGGGTTTAGTCCATGATATAAACTGAAGCTCCTGCTTCTTTCTGTAATTCAGAAAAGAAATTATATAGATGGAAAAAGGACCTTTGAGGTGACATTAGGGTTGTGTAAATAGCAAGTACTTGCTGTATATGAACACTGGTGTCTTACTGAAAAAGTTCAGTGAATATTGTGTTCTTAGGAAGGTCTGGAAATCTGGCAGTAAGGCATCTGCCATTGCCTGACAGAGCCTGGGGGTTTCTAGGCAAAGGTCTTTACAGAGCCTGCTGCATGTTTTCATCCGTGCTAAGGAATTTATCAACAGAAGGAGATTCCTGTTGCAAAAGGTCATTATTATATTTTTGTTTGTACCTTTTCTGTGGCAGAGGAGGTGCGAAATTCCCTGATGTATTTAATTTTGTCAACTTTAAATGTATGGAAAAGTTGAAGCATGTCCTCGTAAGGTCGTTACCTTCATATTATGAGCTTAAAAGTATTCTTGAAGTTAGTTTTTTGTTGTTGTTGTTGTTTTGGGGTTTCTTGTGTGGTTTTGTTTGGGTTTTAATTTTAATTTTGGTTTTTTGTTTGGGATTTTTTGTGGTTTGTTGGTAGGTTTTGGTTTGGTTTGGGGTTTTTTTTTTTTTTTTGGTGGGATTAAAAAAATTATTATTTAATTTTACCTTATAATATGAAGTGTTATACAGTACCTACATGAACCTAGAGTAGCTTGCTGTTATGTGTGCAGTGAGATTTAAGATTTAGCACATTCACTGATGGTGGGATTGTCAGGATGCATAAAAGTAATTCAAGCCTAACACATTGGCCACATCCATCCTTTCCTCCAGCTTCTCACTCTCTAATAGCAGTGAGAACCTGAAATGGATGAGAAATGCTGGGGCACCTGTTTGTGCTGAGGGAAGGTGTAAGAGAAAGAGATTCTGGGAAAGTGGGTTACCTGCCACTGGGAGGCAAGTGTAGACAGATGCTGGAAAAACAGAAACCACTGGAAAAACTCAGGTACTTGTTTCCATTTTCGAGGCATCTGCATTCCCCCATGCTCTGCTAGTTCAGCCCCAGTGCTCCCATGTCTTACCATCAGGGAGTAACATCCCTTGTGAACGGCCCCAGGC